AAGTAAAATATTATCTCATAATATAAAACAATCAAACAAAACAATCAAACAAAACAATCAAACAAAACAATCAAACAAAACAATCAAACAAAACAATCAAACAAAACAATCAAACAAAACAATCAAACAAAACAATCAAACAAAACAATCAAGTTGTATGGATTTTGAAAAATGAATTTAATTTTATTTATTGAAATCAACTTAATTTTTTTTTTTTTTTTTATGAAAAAGAAATGAAAGTGCAATTTGTGAAAATCTTATGGCTGCTAATACTGATAAACATGGATGTTAATGACAATGAAACTCATGCAAGCTTTGGTGCGTTGATATGCAGAGAATATTTCAACCTATTTCATGTGAAAATGGCGAAGCAAAGGCAATGTAATAATGAGAGCTATCAGCGTAATCTACGTTATTTAGGCATTGAATGGTATTTGAGGTAATTAGTTTTACTGGGATAGTGAATGTTACTGGGGTAATTGAGGGCATTTGGGCAATGAATGGTATATGGGGCAAGTAACGGTACTGGGATAGTGAATGTTACTGGGGTAATTGAGGGCATTGGGGCAATGAAAGTTACATGGGGCAAGTAACGGTACCGGGAGAGTGAATGTTACTGGAGCAATGGGGTGTATTGGGGCAATGAATGGTATTTTGGGCAATTAATGGTACTGGGATAGTGAATGTTACTGGGGCAATGGAGTGTATTGGGGCAATGAATGGTATATGGGGCAAGTAACGGGACTGGGATAGTGAATGTTACTGGGGCAATGGATGGTATTTGGGATATTAATGGTTTTTGGGGCAATTAATGTTACTTGGGCAATGAATGGTATTTTGGGGAATTAGTGGTACTGGGACATGGAATGTTACTGGGGCAATGAATGGTATTTGGGGCAATTAATTGTACTAGAACACTGAATGTTGCTTGGGTGATGATTGTATCTGGGGCAATAAATGTTATTTGAGAGATGAATATTATTTAGACAATTAATTTTATTTGGGCAATGATTGTTATTTAGCCAATGATTGTTATTTTGGCAATGATTGTTATTTTGGCAATGATTGTTATTTTGGCAATGATTGTTATTTTGGCAATGATTGTTATTTTGGAAATGATTGTTATTTTGGCAATGATTGTTATTTTGGCAATGATTGTTATTTTGGCAATGATTGTTATTTTGGCAATGATTGTTATTTTGGCAATGATTGTTATTTTGGCAATGATTGTTATTTTGGCAATGATTGTTATTTTGGCAA